AATTTAATATCAAGTTTTATCATTTCTAGCAGTTATCACTGTAGAACCCTGCTGACATTAGATGTCATAAATATATGAGGCTTGTCTACACATTCCTTAAAATTGGTCCAAAAAGCAAATATTGCTTCTTTTTCCAATTAATAATTTGAAAGTCTCTATAGAAAAGTAGATTCCCATGGGTGTTCTCTGAAATTGTTAGTTCCAATAATTCACTTGAAGACAAAGCAAAACTTGATTTATTCATTAGCTGAGCCTAATTTCAATGTATGGCTCTGGCAGATCAAATTTCAAGGCAGGTATGGTAGATCAGATTTCATTTCAGGTTTCCAATTTCACAAGAAAGTAAATCTAGCAAAAGTATAAGACACACCAAAACTTCCTTGATGTTTTTCAAAATACTACCTCCTAAGATGACATTTTCCCTGCAGAAATCTCCTTATTCTTCCTAACAATATTAGTATTTATCAATTTTACACACTTAAGGATTTCAATTTATTAATTTTAATTTATCTCTGTAAGACAAAAATAGGATATAGTCTACCTTCCCATTTCATAGATGATAAATTCAACTACAAGTGGGACAAATGAATCACATAAAATCACACATTTAGAATCATACCTAATGCAAGTCAGGAGATTGAGTAATAGGTTGAATAATTTTTCCAGTTCATCAAAAAGTCAGCCAAAAATATGATGATGTTAATATTGAAAGGCAAATTTGGTAATTAAATTATAATTGTTTCATTGATTTCAAGGACAATGTGAGTTCTACAGCTGATTGTTTTCTTGCTGGCATACTAAAAAAATTAAGCAACGTAAAATTAATTGGATGTTCTAGATAGTTCTAAGAGATGGAGGAGCAAGCCATCATTAATAGCCAACTATTCCTGGTCGCATAGAACCTACATTTGCCTCAGAAAGAGACAAAGAAATAAACAATTAATACTGGTAATAGACAAGTAATCTTGTATCTTAAAAGAGGTAGATAAACAAAAAACAATGAAGCTGGATAAAAAGGGTCATGATTGCTGTGGATGGAGCAATGGTCCGTTTATTAGGTTGTCAGAATAAGCATGATTGAGAAAGGGAAATCACTAATGTCCTAGCAGAGGCGACATCCAGGGAAAGAGCCCCACAGATGATGTGTGTGTTCAGAGAACAGGAAGGAAGCCAATGTGACTGCGGCAGTGTTGGCCAGCAAGGGAGCTGTGTGAGGTGAGGTCAAAGAAAGAATGAGAAGACGGATCACGCAGGGCCTTGGAGATAACCACAAGAAACCCTATTTGGAGTGACTAAGGAAGCATTATGGGGTTCTGAGCAAATGAATGGTGTGGTCTAACTTAAATTTTTTAAAGGATCTATTATTAATCATCAAATATTTTAAAATTTTATAACCTGATATGTTATATAACCTTTGTCATACATCTGAATCCCAATATATTCTCTTTCCTTCAGAATAAAGTTTGATTCTCATTTTCCCTTACAAAATACCAAATTTCAGGATATCTAAGTAATTTCTTCAAGATATCTAGTAAGTAGTAGAACAGTGAAAGGAAAACAATAACAATTAAAAATGGTTTCCTCTTTCCTAGCTACTCATTAATGAAAATAACGACTGAGATGAATCATCCAGATAATCCATCAGTAGATGTTCATTTTGTTATATTAAAATGGAATTGAATTTGAACCCATTTTTCCCTTATTACTAAATTCTGGGACACAATAATAAAAGTAATTTCTTGAGATTTCTATTACATACCCACAGTCAGGCTAAGCATTTAGATGCAGAAGGTACTCACAGCAATTTAAATTTGCCACAGTGTATTTAAAAGTTTTTCAAAGCCTTTAATTTTATTTGTTAACTACTATATGACACTATGATAAATTCATTCTACATATTATATTTATCAAAATAATGAAATAGGAATCATCTTTTACAGATAACAAATCTCCATCAAGGGAAGCAAAGTATTATAATGTTATGTAACTGCTAGGCACAAGAGCTAGGACTTTACCTAGATCTCTACAATGCTAAGCCAGGTTCTCTTACTGAGCGACACTGCGCTTCTGCAGCATGATGCTCAACATATCACCTCAACATTCCCAATGAAAAGGTAATCCAGTCATGAGTAGTCCCATTTTCCAGGTGATTAGCTGGTCAAAGAAAAGTTAACCAGTCCACATTTATTTTATGGCCTCGATATGCAAATCAATATTTATCACAAATGATTTACGATGCAATATCTTGCCTCAGTGAGATCACAACCTTAGGAAGGTAAGAAAAGACATGTAAAATGTAATAAATAATACAAGATAAACATAGTAAGTCTCAGATGAGATAGAGAGCAAACAACTGCTGAAGGAATTCAACAGAGAGAAAACTGAATGTGGGTGTTTCTTTTCAGTTAAGAAAGAACTTTAATAAGAGGACTAGTGTTAAGATGGTTTCTACATGAAAGATATGTTTTCAATTAGCAGAAAGCAGGAAAAATAATCATTCCAGTTAGAGGAAATAATATGACCAAAGGTCAGAAAAACAGATGGGAATGGATTATGAAGAGAAAAACGAGAGATGTATTTGAAATGTAAAATAAGTGGGAGTTGATGTAAAGTGGGAAACAGGGAAGTAGTTTTCAAAAAATCTTATTACTTGGGGAAACTAAAGGAGGAGGAAAGGAGTGGATATATGTTGAGTTGCTGATATGGAACACAAGCTTTGTACATAGTACTTCGGTTTGTGTAATCCTCTCAGCAACCTTATATGGGATAAAGGTAAACATGCCATGGTCATTTTAAATCAAAGCAAACAGACGTCATGTAGTCAAAGCACAGCTTTGTGCATGTGGATGGAGCACAGCTCTAGTCAGTTTCTGTCTGCTGCCCAAGGCTACTTCCCTTCCACTGTTCTTCACCACCACCCTCCAAAAGCAATGGGAAGCCAGCAAAGGTATTTATTCAGGAAAAGTGAGTGCCATATGAAAATCAGTGTGAGACAAAAAGGCTAATGAAGCTATGAGATATTAACATACATTCAGTATCAGAGGATTGGAGAAGGAAGATAGTAAGCCAAGAAAGCCACTGAGTATATTACATAAGCTTAATGTGGAAGACTGTGGAAGCTTAATGTGGAAGAAATACGAAAAGGTCGATGGAAATACTCAAATCCTGAAACAGGTAAAGTAGTTTCTACTACTGAATCACATAAATCCAGAGGAAAAGATTTCTTCAAGAAAGGAAAGTGCAAGATCTAGATTGAATATTTGAAGACTCTGGACAGATTTTTTATTTCAAAATAACAAAATCTATGTAAAACTATCTGCTCTAGTGTAATACATAACTCACACCATCATCATAAATTATGACAGCGTGTTCCAGGCTTTCTTCTCTTACAGGGTTTTAACAACACTTCATTACCTCATCTGCTAGCATGGAGAGCATAGTTCATGCTCATTACACGTATTAATTACTAAGGAGATGTTCTGTTCCTTTTGACTTTTTCTTTTAGAACTTAGTGTACAGGAGGAAGCTAAATTTTCTATTAAAAATACAATGTGTCGTAGCTGTAACTTTATTCCTCCCTGAGACTTCTCTCTTAAAAGGTGTAGTAACACTCAAGGATTCAAGTCAAAAACTGAGCACAATTAAATAGCATACTATTTAACAACAAACTCTATGTCTTTTTACTCCTGGGCAATCCAAACTTATGATTTTCAAAGATACATAGTAGGTTGATAGACAGATAGATATAATTAACAACCACCTACCCTATATTTTTCAAAGGAATCATTTACATCAATATTCAGACATACAATCAGTATATATCCCTTTAGGCAATTTAGAATGGCAAAGTTGTCAAACCTGGCAATAACTAGGCCAACTGCATAAATCACTGATCAATATCAAGTGTTCACTCAACTAGTCTTAATGTTTATTAATTGTCAAACTAAATATCTTATGCTCACACATGTACATTTATTTTTTGCCTTTTTGAGAAAGGGTCTCACTATGCAGTTCAGGCTGGCCTTGAGCTCATTTTGTAGCCCAGGCTGGCCTTGAACTCACAATGATCCTCCTGTCTCAGCCTCCCAAGAGCTGGGATAACAGCCATGTGTCACCACACCCTGCTTCACATGTACATTTATAATATGTAGATCTTATAATTAAGATATTTAATTTAACAAATATCACACCTCCATATATTCATGTTAGAATTCATGAGTAACAATATTTTGACTAAGAATCCCTTCAGGAAATGCACACCTACACTACTTTTCACCTAACTTTAGCATTATCTAGCAATGTTAAAGGCTAAAAATTTAAGATATTAGCCTGCGCTAATTTCCCTTTGCTTCATGGATAATAACACACTTTTTTCTGAGTTGAAAAGGAGTCTTTAGTTCTGAAATCAAATGGTCCTACAACCCAGAAGTTTAGGCTTATAGCCAATGTACATCTACAATATCTTTGCAAGTTTCAAGGTAAACTTCTGTTATACTTCAGAAATGCAACTTTTCAAGTAAAAAGAGACATTATTATATAATTCTAAAAAGTGTATTTGTTGAAATACAATCCAGATATTCTTTTATTTTTATAAACCTTATGTTTGCATATCTTATATGAAAAGATATTTATAAAATATGATAAAAGTCAAAGATACTACACAAGTGTGTTTGCTCAATGTTACATTTCAACATACTCTAAAATTGAAAGACTTAGTCATTAGAAATAAAATAATTTGGAAACTATGCTTCAAAAGCATGTGCTCCATAGGACTTTGGACATTCTATAAAAGATATGTTAAATACATTATGTACGTGGAAAAAAGAATCAGATAACATTTATTAAATGTATCTTACTTTCTATTTTCTTTGATATTTAGTACATAGCAATGCATTGATGTACAAAATGTCTCCAAAGAAGAATACTAACCTTAACTTTTATAAAGTACTATTCTGTGAGAGTCTTTTTTTTTTTTTTTTTTTAAGGAAAAGTATTTTTACCTCCCAGGCCTGGTCTAAGCCGATTATCGTAACCATCCAGAAGTCTGTCTAGAATTCTCGTGAAGATGGTAATGTTATTTTTAGCCTCATCTTCTTGGATGTTAGCCAGGACCAACCTAAACAGATAATTTTACAAGCTGATATATACACAAATGTTTGCTTTGCAAGCACCAACATGCTCTTCTTCCTCTGAATTTAATGCTCCTTAAGCGCCTAGTACAACTCATTTTTCTCTTTCTTCATTTTTGTAAATGCCAGTATGTCCACGGGAGGAGACATGGGGTTGAAAATGAATACTAAACAACAGAGTATCAGAAGTTTGATGATGAAACCATTTAGTATTTCTAGACTTAGCATTCTTCATGGATAATTCTTTTTTCTAAAAGTCTGTTCTCAAGAATATATTATGAGCATGGATTATCACATGTAGAAATGATTGGTAATGTTATTTTATAGTTAGTACAAAAATCAAGGGTACTTGAAAATAATTCTTCAGTGTTCTGAATATTAATCAGCACATAAATTTCCTGCTGGAGTGTTCCCAATGTCTCTATCTTCCTCATAAATATCTTTCTGATTCTCTTTATTCTTGTGCTCTTTTAAACCAAGATTATTTCCTTACCTTGGGTATACCTCCACCCAATGGCCAAGTGCAATATAGACATCAGGGAAACTCCACTGGCTGTGTGCCAGCCTCCATGGCCAGGAGGGGGAGGTGGGCTCAGAAAGCCTCAGCAATACACACAGCTGCAGAAAGCCTAGCAGGCTGGTCCCTCTTGTCTAGTGTCAGAAGAGCAGTAAGGGGCCAGGTAAAGATTAATATCCCCAGCTACTCTATTCTTGATGAAAATTTTGTAGGAAGAATAGTCTTAAAATAGCGTGTTGAGAAACAGTGCTTTTGTCTATTATTTCTCCATCATAAAGCCAGAGACCTGATTTTGTGACGTCCAGCAATTTGCAGAAGCAACTGGATGTATAAAACAGAATGTCCCCTTTCATTGCCATTTATTTTCTCAGAATGATTCAGACATTTAAATTACTGGCACCAAAAAAGAATCATTTATATAATAGAATAAAATACTGGCATGAGCATTACTGGTCAAGTAAAGAACACAAACCTAGTAGAAAGACATTTAGTTAAGCATGAGGATTTTTAATCCTTTTTGATTGATCAGAGAGTGTTCCTGCCTCTCAAATCAAAGATCATAGGTAATTAAATTCTGATCAAAGTGTATTATATAAAATATCGTTAATAGAATCCATTTGCATTTAAATGAAAACAGAGCTAGTAGCTAAAATACTCATCACACATCAAAAATTGGTTATCAACTTTAAGCAAATATTATTCAAAGAATAAATATCAAGCACTAATATGAAAATAAAACATTTTCAAGTTATATAAGTAAATCAGTTCATACATTCTAAGCTCAAAAGTTTCCATACAACCTACTTAAGCTAATTTTTAAACAGATCACTGATAGTCACAAAGTTCTAATAAAGATTTTCACTCAATAATGTTTTAATCATATTCCATATTTGCTTTCTAAAGTTAATACTCAGATGTTAAATGAGTAGGTATTTTCCAGTCTGATGCAGTCTTTATAAATAGATTTTTAATTCCAGAAGACGCTTTCACACTTTATCAATACTTGAACATGAATATAAAAATTAAATGTAATTAAATGAAAAACATTTAAACAATGATTACAAAAGCATTTTTACAGAACTTGTGTATTAATTCCTTTCATATTGTAAAAATGTTAAATAAAAATCTCCACTGCAGTTAAAAAATCAGAAAAGACTACAACTAAGATGAACTTATTTAAAGCAATAAAAATTAATTTCATGTTTGTAGAGCATAGGCAAAAGAAAATTAGTTACACATTTGAAATAAGTTCTCCCTGGGACAGTAAGCATTTGAGTAATAAATGATCTCTAAATTAATAATATGAAAAGCTGATGAATGTGTCAGGTTTTTGTTTTATTTTGTGATTGTGAAGTTGTATACTACCTCCACCTAGAGGTGTAAGCCTCACATGTCATTTGGGGTTTCTATATTGACTAAAAGAGCCAAGACCGTTTTAAAAAGGCAAGAAAAAAAATTAAGTTACCACTCAAATCAGCTGGTACTTTTCTCTGTAACTTGAAAGAAAATTTGGCTTCATTACTGAATTTTAACATTCTGAGAAGTGCATAAAACTTAACCACTGTGATTCCACGTGGGAATTTGCCATTGAAAATAGAATCTTTCCTTCAGTGAATCTTTTTTGTATGAAAGATGCTTCTATTTACTTTTGTGTTTGATTGCTTAAAACCCAGAATCAGTGAAGTATTTTACAGTCTGCCACTTCCTGCTTCACTTTCCTGGTACAGTTCTTCAAAACACCCTGATTTGCACAAACCACAGCTGCACTGACAGCACCCAAAAACCACTACTTCACCCTGAATGAAAAGGACCAAACACCACTGAGTGTCTCACCTGGCTGGGTCCCACACCAAGAAAACAAGAAGGAGCGACTGCATGTTGGAGATGTTCGATTTCGTCTTCATCACCCCTCTTTGCAAAGCCATGGAAGAAAAACGACATATACTTAAAACTGTGTTCAGTCCCCCCCCGCCCCAAGTAATCCCAAAGAATGTGATTTCAGCTAAGAACTGAAGTTAAAACTACAAAAATGACTTCTTTGGATTAAGTATAGGGCATGATGATTAGAGACGGAGGATTCTTTCCTTCAATATGCCAAGATGACCAAATAATCAGACCTTTCGCTCTGCCAAGAACTCCCCCCAACCCCACCATCAACGAATGCTGTTTCGTGCACACATGAAATAACACCAGAGACACCAACCTGACAGAGGAGCTGGACACGGAAACCGGCTGAAGAACAGAGTGGAGAAGAGGAGAGACGAGTACCATACACCACAGCCCCCTCCACCAAGACCACCCCCGCAAGCACAGCGCGAACAGCCGGGGGCCCTCAGCTCACTTTCTCAATGATTATTCTTTTCATGACAGTGAATCGCGATCCTCACGTCTTTACTTCCTCCAGCATCAAACCAGATCAAAATCTCCCTGCCCATCCATGGTTGCCCAAGACCAGTCTTGGAGGCAGCCGGGTTCAGATCAACTGCTGCGAAACGACGCGTTTGACAGCTGTTCTGGAGCCAAGGACCACAATAAGCAAGGAGCCTGAGGCTCCGGCTCCACACAGCCAGCCAGGCAGCGGAGATCCGCGTGCAAAGTTGGAGACTATGAAAGATCCAGGCTAACGTGTGGCCAGGCAGGGGCTTGGATCTGACTGTAATAGTTGAAATACGCGTTGGGGATGACTATTGAGACGATTTTTTAAAGTGGCTGGGGAAGAGAGGAGCACCTGAACCTCCTCGATTACCGGGGAGCTCCCGGAGTGGGTAGGGGGCACGAGACATGCACGCGAGGCGCAGGCAGTGGGAACCAACGCGTGCGACCCTACCTTAAACAGCAAGCAGAATTCGACGTTTTCCTCTCTGAGCCCTGATCGTGAGGAGATGGGAAACTTGAGAGAGAGAGAGACAGAGAGACAGAGAGAGAGAGAGACAGAGAGAGACAGAGAGACAGAGAGAGAGAGAGAGAGAGAGAGAGAGAGAGACTGCAGCAGCAGCAGCCGAACCGCTAGGAGCGGTGCGTAGCGCTGGAGGAAGCTGGCGGGGAGCGCGAGGAGCGGGCGGCAGCGCGAGGAGTAGCAGGAGGCGAAGGCGTCCGTAGTGGCGGTGATGGGTGGAGGAGGAGGAGGAAGAGGAGGAGGGGGAAGAGGAGGAGGGGGAAGGATGGCAGGAGCCGGAGGAGGGGGGCGGAGGAGCGGTGCGCGCAAACGACGGCGGGCACGAGCCCGGAGCCTGGAGGAGGAGCCAGGCTGGGGAGAAGGACTAAAGAGGTTCCCAGGAAGACAGGAGGCCCCCAGCCCCCTCCCTCCTGGGTGAAGACCGCCTCCCTCCCGGCACCTGCAGCGGCGCAGCCCGGGGCGGCGTAGGGAGCCCCGGTGCGCTCGGAGCGCGGATTCCTGCGCCCACGCCGCGCGGGAGGAGCGGAGCCCACGAGATGCTGGTGCTGCTCCCCCGAGCCTCTGAGATTTCTGGGGGCTGCTGGCGCAGACGTGCGGAGCTGGGCATGTAACGTCCGTGAGTCTCCAGATTCCCAGGGCCGCGCCCGGCCAGCTGGCCCCAATATCCCCCTGCCGTACAGCGAGGAGGCTGCCCAGGAGCGGTGCCAGGGAACCACTCCCGCGGAGGGCGAGGAGACTAATCACGCCTTCACTTAGTCATCAGCGCAAACACGCAGGACCAAGTTGCGTGGAATCAGACGGCAGGAAGTTTCTTTGATTTCCTTAACCGTCTTGATATACCACTCATGCCTCCACACTCGTGCAGTCAGGACCAATTTCCCCTCAAAGCTCAGCGGACTGGAGACTTCCGTGAGGCTGTCGGTAAAGTCCATTTGCAGCTTGTACACCTTGAGAAACCTCCCCCTCACTTTCAGCAATCCCTTTCCCCAATCGCTTTTTCCAGACATTTTCCCTACTGAGTGATCAAACTCAATCAACAGCCCTGAAAAGTTTACATTACCCTCCGAACAAAAACGGACCTGCTAGGCTTCTACTACTGCAGCAGTTCATTTCCCAGGGGGCAAAATGTACAAAGTCTTGAGGTTTTCCCCCTTTAGGGCTTTTGCTTGTAAGAGACTTGTAATTCTAGTCCCACTGCTCGCTTTCAGCACCATGTTTTTGATCTGTGTGATTTCCCTTCTTTTTTATCTGAAGAGATAAAAAATCCAAACATGCAACCTGAGCCTTGAGCAAGACAAGAGAGAGAGAGAGAGAGGGAGAGGGAGAGGGAGAGGGAGAGGGGGAGGGGGGGAGGGGGAGAGAGAGAGAGAGAGAGAGAGAGAGAGAGAGAGAGGTTTTTCTTTTGTACTGCACATAAAACAGAATGTTATGCACATCCTACTAAGGCAGTGTTTGTCTCTTCCAGAAGTTGTTATAAACGGTAGACACTCTAAGAGGAACAACAAAAAAGAGATAAGTACGCTGTTTCTGTCATTTTACATTCAGAGTCAGAATGTGCAAACACTTCAGTTTTGTCAGTTATGCACCAAAAATTCAAATGTTTTTCCGGGATGGTGCAGTTTTTATAAAAACAATCACTCTTATTCTACAATCAATTTTAGCTTTGGTTCGAAGATTATGCGAGAGTAAAACCTTTGCATGGCAAACGTATCAAGCTGTCCTTTTTAACCTATTAGCTATCATGTTGTGAACGAGCAGTGAGTATTCTACAGCCTAAGCAAACACTTGCTCTCTTATTTAGTTGGCTTTGTGAAGAACAGAGTACCACCCAGCTTTCTCCTCCGTCATTAATATTCCTTTCCTGACTTCCCCCATTGTAGAGTCTAATTGAAATTCACAAAGAAAAAAAGCATGCCATTTAAAACCACACAACCAGGGAATCTTAACGTCTTGTATTTGCCTAGAGCACTTCACCTACTACTGTATTTTCATATTCTATGAGTCTATATTCATTAGGATGTATCGGCTCTACCACTTACATCACTATGAATAGTGCTTATATATTGATAATGGAAGTTGAACAGTGCATAATTTCTTCCCAGTCTTAATTGCTGCTCATCAACCAAGTTTCTATTCCATGAATATCACAATTTTTGTAAATATCTTCATATATTATTTTCATTCCTACATTATGAGCTTGTCCCTGGCTACTATTTTTAATTACATTATTGCAAAATTTATAACAAATGGAGTGATTTGTGTTTTTTTAAAGTCAGTTTTCCCATTAGCAACTTTATTAAATTTGAAATCCAACTGACATAGGATCTACTTATATGGAACTAAGTAAAGTCCAAGCTATATTGGGTGATTTTCACCTTTTGTTTTTGTTTCAAAAAGTATATGCTAGAAAAGTTCACAGATTAAGTTGTGTATTTACTGATTAAATTGAGCCCATCATAAAAACTAGTTTTTAAAAATCATTACAAAATCTTGATTTTTAGTTCCTCTGTATGAAATGTTTTTTGTGTTTTACTGAAGTTGGATAGTTATGATTTAGACTTCAAAGCATCTTAAAGGAAATGGAGTCAGAAAAACTGATTGCAGGCAGTGAACCTCTGCTTTATTGCTGTGTCTACACTGATACAGTGTTTCACCTTATTACTAGACCGGCCAAATTTCTCTGAAAATTTAGAGGATGCTCCAGTTCCACCACACATGGAACAAATCTAGCTTGATTTTCTTCTCAACTCTGTGATAGAGTAGCAGGTTTACACCTGAGATCAGAGGCTTGTGAGGGGTGGCTAAGCTTCTGCCTACTCTCTCCGTTCAGATCGCGTCCTACGGCAACCAATACTGAAGGTGTGACAGGACTTAGTTGGCAGCAAATCCATTCCTACCCAGGTCTGGGCAGTGTAAAACCTTCTTTTTGAGTTTGGAAAGTCTACGTCCCCACCCACACACCCACATTACTGAGAATATTTCCATATGAGGACCAAGAATAAAAAGAGGCTGAAGAACTAAGGAATCTTGGTTTTCCCTGAGGTTTTCCTCTGCTTCCATCTTACATTATTGTATAATGTTATAATTTGTTTCCAAAACTGTTCATGTTTTTGAGCAGATATTTCATGGAGCTTACATTTTTAGGGCCATAGGGAATTACTGCTCCATATACCTTATGGGGCCTAACAAATCTTTGAGCACTTATAAAATAATATGCATATATATTATATATGCTGAAATATATATATCTGTTTACATATATATGATGTGCATGTTAAGAAAATAGATTTGTGCATGCATATAATATACAGATATGCCTATGGTAAGTATGTATCTGTATAGGCACCTGAAAGAATAAAAATAGATATAAGCATTTTAATAAGAATACCATTTAAATGATATGTTTCTACAAAATTAATTTGTTTCTACTACTAACCAACTTAATTATGATGATTTTTACGTATTTGGAAGACAACTATCAGATTTATTTCAACAAGGTTTTGCCATAACTGAAATTTTACAATTATCAGTAAATAATAAATTTGTATACACTCCAAATACATACCTTCTTATGTAATTTTCCATTCAAATGAAGGGAATAAGTTATTTAAAAGTTAGAAACTAAAGTAAAGCAGATTATTGTGCTTTCACAAAATTAGATGCTATCTGATACTCCCCACACACATAGTGTCTTGCTGATTTCAGAATGTGCTTGGAGTATAACGTTGTTCTCACATATTTACTCCATTACCCAAACAAACAAGCAAGCAAACAAACAGACAAAAACAAAGCAAAACTGGAGCAAATACCCCTTTGGGAATTTTCAAATCAAAATCATGGCTTGGTCAAGCTCCATTTTTAACCTAAGCTTAAATTAAATGGATGCCTAGGTTCCCAGATTCTGAAAGAAAACCAGCTGGGAAGTGGGAGTAGCTAGTCTTATAAACAAATAATCTCAAAACTACTCTCTTGCATTAATGTATCTAGGTCACATTTCATTAGAGCTAAATATATCTTGTACACTAGCTAGGATAGCTATGCACATTACCTTCTTCAAATAGAGTGAGTAACTCTGTTTTAAAAGTAATTTTACAAATCCTTGTCCAACTTGCAAATAGAATATATCAAGCATTCAGGATATCCTGAAGGTTTCTGATACTTTTTTCCTCATACATATGGAATAATTTGTAAAGAATTTCTTTTGTCTTCCTTTTCTGAGATGACTAGTAAAATTTATTCTAGATCATACAATTGTTTGCTAACAAAGATAAAGCTCCAATAACTCAAATAAAATTATCCTCATGGAGAAATATACTATGCATTTTGTTGATGATATGCTGCTACATGATCAGCAGCTTTTGCCTAAGATATGTCCTGTTAATGACAATCATGATAAAGATAATCACAAACATAAGCCTATAATGTCCTTATTTTATAACAGCTTATATCTTAAATGTATCACATATATTACTTCTTTTAATCTTCCAAAGCAACAATAGGCTATCACTATTCCCATTTGGCTGATGAGAAATTTCCTAGCTCAAAGTTTCACATTGGTAGTAAATAATAGACCCAACCAATATGGATCCAGAGTTTGCATTTTTAACTACTTTGCCATTTGTAATAATACCTCATGGCACAAAATTATTCAGAAGAAGCCAGCAATATTACTAAGAACAAAATTAGAGGATAGACAGGGTCTAGGACCTAATTTGAGTTCATTTTCAAATACAGTAGTACCTCAGCTCAGGAACTTAATTTGTTCTACCGTTTTGGAAAAGGTGGCTATGTTCGTGCTTGTGTGGGGAAGATGGCTGCAGTCGTGTTTGTCACCCAGTGAAGAGTTTGCAAACAAAAATTTGTGAAACACTTCTGTTTGTGAACCAAATTGTTTACAAATAAAGGCATTTGTGAATTGAAGTACCGCTATATTTCAGGCAGGATAAAATAGGCTTCAGCTGAAGGATTTTTCTAATATTTTTTACGTTGTCAAACTCTCTCATTTTGAGGAGTACAGAAGGAAACTATATTGGGAAGAAGTAAGTAAAACACATCATAAGGCCATGAGTATTTCATGGTCAGTCAGAGACAAGGTATGGAAAACAGAAACCAATTATTTCTAAGAAACTGAATAATTCCATAGCAAATTAATTATGGATATCAAGTGATTTTAAATATAAATCATTTCTCCTTTGTAGAGATTCTTTGTATTTGCCAGAGTGGCTTGCTCATAGATACTTGATAAATAATTACTGATTGTTTAGAGTTAAGTGCATTAGAATAGAAAAGTTGGAGCAGACCACGGGTGAGTAGTCTCAGCTACAGCATATGTTAGCAATTCCAAAAGTGTTATCTCAAAACTCACTGTCTATCTATGTAGATGTCTTCCATTCTAGGTTCTCTCTTCTGGTGTTCT